GGCGTTTGAGGTGCAGAATGAAGTGAAGTCCAATCAGCTTCCATATGCAAATGACCTTGAAATGCTGGCCCAATCAGAGAAGAGTGGCCTAGGCTGCAGTGGGTGGGAGAGAACTCAGGCAACACAGCCAGGGGATAGACACACCTTGTGATTGACACATCACGGAGCCAACTGATTTTGGGTTGCATAGAATGTTGTGGGACCACTACTCAATTATATATAAGGAGAGATAATTAAGATGTTAAAATATTGTCGTATACATTAAATCAATGCTTCCTCTAAGCTGTGGAGTCTTGTGAGCAAAAATTCTACTTGGTGAGCAACTGGCATTAAAGTTGTGAGCGAGCGATTTGGCTGCTGCATAAATTAGTTTGCTCCAGAGCCATCCTTCCTGAGCGAAGACAAAAATGTGTGAGCTGGAGGCTAAAAAACTGTGAGCGAGCTCACACTAACTCAGCTTAGAGGGAACACTGGTCACCATCCTACAGTAATAGACTTTTAATGGTTGCAAGAGGTCCTGGCCCATAATAAGATGTAGATAAGGCCAGCAGTTGTTAGAATGGGTGGCCAAAACCACAAGGAGGCCATTCATGGACACCCACTGCTTCAGCTGAAGGCCTGGCGGAACAGTGCCATCTTACAGGCCCTGTGGAATTGAAGAAGATCCTGCAGGGCCCTGATCTCAGTGGGACGCATGTTCCACCAGGCAGGGGCCAGGTCAGAAAAGGCCCTTGTCCTGGTCGAGGCAAGATGGACGTCTCTTGGGCCAGGGACCACCAGGAGACGCTGATCCATCAAGCTTAACTCTCTCTCGGGTGTATACAGGAAGAGGCTATCCCTCCGGTATGTTAGTCCCAGGCCGTGTAGGACTTTAAAGGTTATTACCCACACCTTGAAGCGTATCCGGAACTCAACTGGCATCCAGTGCAGTTGGCAGAGCACCTGCCAAACATGAGCCCGCACAGCCGTCGCCGTCAGCAGGCTGTGTACCAGTTGTAATTTCCAGGTCAGCTTCAAGGGTGAGCCTATGTAGAGCGAATTGTCGCCTGCCGATCGCATTGTTGCTACCGTTGCATTCCCAGTGTGGCCATCCAGCTATTCTGGCAGGACCAGGTGATGAAGCACAGCCAAACTAACAGCTCCAGGGTAGCCTCTCCGGCTGTTTCCAAGCCAGCATTTCCGGACAAATGCGTCCCGGGTTTCTAGGAGGCCACCAGGTGTGTCTCCTCCCGGATCTGGAAAAATAGCCCAAGGCAGCGTCACGTTAACCTCGCCACCTGCTCCTCTTGGCAGGGAGAAAGTGAATGTCTCCCTCTCCTTGGATGGCCACGGGGCAGACACTCCTTGTCCTGTCTGGATTGCGTCTTTCTAGCGACCGGCGGCACTCGGGCTCTTGTCCTCCGCGTGGGTGGGGCTGGGGCTCGACCCGGTCGTCCCACAAGCGCGCTGACGCCTTCCCACCTCCCACAGTACGCGGAGCAGTCCTTGATGAAGAACGCGATCAAGACGTCGGAGGAGTCGTGGATCGAGCAGCAGATGCTGGAAGACAAGAAGCGAGCGACGGACTGGGAGGCCACCAACGAGGCCATCGAGGAGCAGGTCGCCCGGGAGTCCTACTTGCAGTGGCTGCGGGACCAGGAGAAGCAGGCCAGACAGGTTGGTCTTCCTCCTTGCCCGGGGGGGGGTGGTGTTGAGTGTCGTGTCAGACTGGCCGGTCGGTGGGTGGGTGGAGGGAATGAGCTCCATGACTCCGAGGGCTGCTCCGGTCCCTGAAGGCTTTTGTCCTCGTCTCCTCGCAGCCTCGTAAAGCCAGCGCTACCTGCAGCTCCGCCACGGCGGCCGCCGCCAGCGGCATAGAAGAATGGAGCGGCCGCTCCCCCCGTCAGCGCAGCTCAGCGTCTTCCCCGGAGCACCCAGACCTGCACAACGAGCTGAATGCCGCCAAGCCAGCCTCCCCCGGGAGCACCGCCGCTCTAGCACTTACCAAACCCCCCTCGCCCTGCGCCCCCGGTGAGCACAGCTTGAGGAGCACCACGTTTCTTGGCCGGAAAAGAAATTAGCCTGGGAATGCTGGGCAGGCACAGGAGGGGGCGACAGGGGGTCTTGCCTCGGTAGAGACTTGGGGACCTGCCAGACATATAAACAGCATGCTCAAAGAGAGCCAGCTTGGTGTAGTGGTCAGGAGCACGGACTGTAATCTGGGAGGATCGGGTTTGATTCCCCATTCCTCCACATGCAGCTGCTGGAGTGACCTTGGGTCAGCCACCAGTTCTTTCCGAGCTGTTCCCTCAAGGGCAGTTCTCAGAAGAGCTCTCTCAGCCCCACTTTGCGTAGTGTCTGCTGTGGGAAGGGGAAGGGAAAGGGATTGTAAGCTGCTCTGAGACTCCTTCGGTTAGTGAAGGGCGGGGTATAAATCCAATCTCTGCTCTTTTTCTTCAACCAGGGGATGTGTCCGTTTTAGTAATCCATGTAATGGCGCAAGGCCATGCAATCGCGCACCGCCCCCCACGCTTTTGTAGACCAGCAGCAGTTTTGTGCAGATGGGCCCTCAGGTGCTTAACCGCCTGCACAGTGGGGCTAAACTAATTCCTGCAGACGCCATAGCGCCGCTTTGTTCTTCACAGGGTGCTGCTCTATGGAAGCTGCACATTGCCTTTAAGGCTAAAAAAAGAAGAAGAGTGGAAAACTCTGTTGTCCTAATGCAGTGTGATGGTATTTCTCTGCATATTGTTGGGGAAATGAGGAGCGCAGGAACCTGAGAGCCAGTCTGGTGTAGTGGTTAAGTGCGCGGACTCTAATCTGGGAGAACCGGGTTTGATTCCCCCACTCCTCCACTTGCACCTGGCTGGATGGCCTTCGGCAAGCCGTAGTTCTATCAGAGCTGTTCTTGAAAAAGAGCAGTCATTGTCAAGAGCTCTCTCAGCCCCACCTACCTCACAGGGTGTCTGTGGTGGGGAGAGGAAGGGAAAGGAGTTTGTAAGCTGCTCTGAGACACCTTTGGGTAGTGAAGGGCGGGGTATAAATCCAATCTCCTCCTCCCCTTTTCATAAGGTTCATTGGGGAGGGAGAGAAAAACTGGCTTCCCAAGTGTATAAAGAGAGAGAGACGATTGTTTCAAAACACCGCTTATTTATTTAGCTTCAACCCCAAATGTAAAATCATTAAAAACATGTAAGAGTCTGGTATGCAGCATGCAAAATTAATCACATTTATCAAATACCTAATTAGAATGCACTGTAATTTTATAAAGGGTATATCCCTGGTTGCTCTGTCAAGACCCAGGACAAGCGCAAACAAGACCCAATGCAGCCGTAAAGCACCTTTTCCCATCCTTGGAGATAATGTAACTGTTGGCTAAGCATCTGACGTATCCCTGACGTATGACAAAGCTCAGCCCTTTTCTTTCTATCTCTGGGGTCAGGAAGGTCAAGGGAAGTCAGGGAAAGCTAAGGTGACTCAGAGAGTCAAGGAAGCTAGTTATGGATACCCTATCTATTTAGAATTTGATAGTGGATGAACATTCCAGAAGGCAAAAGTCATGTACGGGGTCATTGGTACCAGAAGGCAACAGCACTTAGCAGAGCCCTGAAGCCTCCTGGGAAACAGAACCAAAGATCCAGCTATACTTTACTATAGAAATTAAAGTAACGTAGGGTTAACAGAGGACTGAGGCTCAATCCAGGCCCTGATTCCGTGGCACACAGGTATATCTCCTCTGCCATTCTCAAGGGACGACGAGCAACAGTGGTTTATTTATTTATTTAGTCGGATTTTTACTCTGCCCTCCCCGCCAAGGCCGGCTCAGGGCGGCTTACATAAAACAATACATAAATTACAATAAAACTCATTAAAACACCTTAAGACAGTACTGCAACCAACTGATGACATAAAGTGCTGGCATTGTTGTCCTTGGTTGTTGTTGATTTAACCATGGCAGCCATACTCCGTTCTCTCTCCAGATGATCGGCTCTCAGCTCTCCTCCGGATGGCATAGAAGCGATTAGCACTGGCACCGTTGTTAAAATTCCAGGGGCACAGGGCTCTCTATTCTACCGCTGTTCGCTATTGATGATATTTAGTGGTGGTGGCAGCTCCAAAGGCCTGGTGGAAGAGCTCCGTCTTGCAGGCCCTGCGGAACTGTGAAAGGTCCCACAGGGCCCTGATCTCTTCCGGGAGCTCATTCCACCAGAGCGGAGCCGCCACCGAGAAAGCCCTGTCCCTGGTTGTCACCAGCCTGGCCCCCTTACAGCTCGGGAGAGCCAGCCAGTTCTGTGCCCCTGAATGCTCTCTGGGGGACATATGGGGAAAGGCGGTCCTTTAGGTATGTAGGCCCCAGACCATAAAGGGCTTTAAAGGTCAAAACCAGCACCTTGAAACGAATTCGGTATGGTATTGGCAGCCAGACTGATGACAGGGGCGGGGTGGCCAAGAAACTTGTCCTTATCTTTTTTTAAAAAAACATATTTATCATGTTGCTCAAGAAGGTTCACAGGCATTTTAAAAAATTACAGACTCTCAGAATAAAGCAATAAGCGATCCGAAAGGGGTTGCATATAGTCAGAAGCCTTAGATAATGTCCTTTTCAGCTAAGACAGTTTGTTATAAGTTACAAATGTACTCAGCGTGCCAGCGCAGTGTCATAGTTAAGAGCGGCAGACTCTAATCTGGAGAGCTGGGTTTGACTCCCCACTCCTATTCCACGTGAGGCCTGCTGGGTGACCTTGGGCCAGTCACAGGTCTCTCAGAATTCTCTGAGCCCCACCTACCTCACAAGGTGCCTGTCGTAGGCAGAGGAAGGGAAGGCAATTGTCAGCCGCTTTGAGATGCCTCACGGTAGAGAAAAGCGAGGTATAAAAACCGACTCTCCTCCTCCTCCTACCACTCTAAACCAGTTTGCATGGTTGAAATTTGGAGCCAAAAATCTCACGCTTGCACCAAAGAGCTCTAAAATGCAGAGGCTTAGAACGGTGCTAACTTGATGCTGACGTTCCAAAGTGTCAGGCAGGTCTCCCTCGGTAGGCCGTTGCTCGTTTGAGGCGCCACCACAGAAAAGACTCTGCTTCTTGTATCCTCTTGCTTCCATCTGTGAGGGGTATAAACCCCTGGAGCAGAGCCTTCCAGAAGAGCATAAAGAGAAGAGGTTAATAAGGGCAAAATTCCCTGAAGGACAGAGGAGGGAAAAGTGCACGGCTGGATTAAAATCCCCATCCTAGACGATTGGATCTGAATCGCTTGCACTGAAAGTCAGAAAGTTTACGGGATGGATCATAGAATCATAGAGTTGAAAGGGACCTCCAGGAATGTTTTTGCTCCCGTCACCAGATTCTGTGGTCGCGTGGTGCAGCAGCAAGCTACCCTTTGCTCCTTCTAAGCGGTGGAGTCTTGTGAGCAAAAATCCTACTTTGTGAGCTCCTGGCATTAAAGTTGTGGGCAAGCAATTTGGCTACTGCATTAATTAGTTTGTTCTGGAGCCCTCCTTCCTGAGCTGGGACAAAAATGTGTGAGCCGGAGGCTAAAAAACTGTGAGCTATCTCACACTTAACTCAGCTTAGAGGGAACACTGCTCTTACAGGCATGAGCAGTACTGAGCAAAGAAAGAGGTCTACCTTCAGAATCTCTTGGAGGCCCTTCCTGCAAGTTTCCAAGTGTGCTTTTCACGACAGTCAGGACTAGCAACTTGCTCTTTTGCAGTAACGCCAGCTGAGGTTTCACAGTCTTAGTTTCTGCTAAGGCAACCTCTGAAAATGCATCTTGATTTCATTTATTCTGTCTCTTTATCATACCCCACCTATCTCCCCAATGGGGACCCATAGCGGCCGATGGCCATTCTCCTCTCCGCTCATTTCACCCTCCCGACATCGCCCTGAGATAGGTTAGGCTGAGAGCCTGTGACTGGCCCAAGGTCGCCCAGCGAACTTCCCCGGCAGAAGTGGGGATTCAAACCTGGGCCTCCCAGATCCTAGCCTCAAACTTGAACCGCCACGCCATGCCGGCTTACGCGAAAGGCACGAACCGTCTCTCAGGACCACAAAAATACAGCTCCGACAGGTTCTTTCGGGGAGGGCACAACAGTGGCTGATGGCGTCGTGGGGGTGGGGGTGGGGATACCAGATTGTGAATGCGGAAAGAGGAATGAGCAGGCCTTGGCATCGCTAACTGCTTCCTGGATCCTCCTTCCCCAGGTACAAGCAGCCAGCTGTCAGCCGGTGGTGGCCGAGCAACCCCTCCCTTAGTGTCGTTGTATCCGGCCCTGGAGTGCCGGGCAATAATGCAACAGATGTCCCCCACGGCATTCGGTAAGAGCCCCCCTTTGGGTGTGGCAGCCAGACTGGAGGGTGCATCTGGGTGTATGTGTGTGTGTGTGTGTGAGAGAGAGAGAGAGAGAGATCTTGGGATTTTGGCCCTTCCCCCACTGAAAACCAACCCCCCATGTCCTTTCCGGGCCTTTCTGTGCTACAAAACCCTTAATTTTTTTTCGCCAATCTAAACTGTGCCAGTCAGTCCAGACACTCTCGGCCCGGTTGTCTCCGTTGTGTTTGGAATCAGTGGGGGACGTGCTGACTTTGGAGTTTTGAGCTTGAACTGCGGGACAGAAGCGCCGGGAGGAGATCGCACGGTGGCCTTGAAAGACGGGGGGGGGAGAGGAGTCAGGTTGAATGAAGGCTGCTTACCTGACCTCTGGAGCAGCAGGAAAGAGCAAGAGTCCAGCAGCACCTTAAAGACTGAAAAAATCTGTGGCAGGGGAGAAGCTTCCGTGAGTCACTGCTCAAAGTGAGAAGCGTTCATGCGTCAGTGCTCAAAGAGTCCAGCAGCACTGGAAAGACTAACAAAATCTACGGCAGGGGAGGAGCTGCCATAGATTCTGTTAGTCTCTCCGGTTCTGCTGGACTCTTGCTCGTTTCTGCTGCTACAGACAGACTAACACGGCTACCCATCTAGATCCAGGGGTCATTTCGTAGAAAAAGAGGTACAGGAGTTCATTTGCATAACTCATTTGCATGTGCCAGACCCCCTGACAAAGAGCAGGCATCTTTAAAATGCCTTTCCCTTCCCCATCTGGCATTTAAATCCCCCCCCCCCTTCCCCAAGTTTCTCCACAAAAGCGGAGAGGCTCGGGGGGGGAAAGGGGGGTCATGGCTGGAGAAGGGAAGGGCAGGTGGGCAGACATGCCGGGGTTCCCTGCCCGATCTGTCCCAGGTGCCCTGCGGCTGCCTTCCCATCTGGGGAAGGGAAAGAAAGGCATTTAAATCCCCCCAGGCGGCGAGGAGGCCCTGTAGGCCTTCCCTGGCCCATCCACCTCAGAGGGTGTGCCGGGGAAGGCACGGGAAGGCATTTAAATGCCTCCCCGCTCCTTGCAACTGAGGGGGCTCACCCCCTATACCCCCCCAGGGCCCCATCAACTTACCGACTGAGGGCTGCTGGGGGTGGGGCTTGCTGCATGTGCCCGCCCCTGGGCTCCTTACTGCCGGAGCACCGTTCCTCCGCATTCCGGCAGGAAATGACCCTGTCTAGATCTACCTGACCTCTAGCGACCCACACGTGCTTCATTCTTTTCTTACGTTGCTGTTTTCAGCAAAACCGACCCCACGCTCAGGTTTTTATCTGTGATCTGTATGGGCTGGAAACTTGGTTTTTAAGATGTAAATAGCTGGATTCCACAGTTAACGGCAAATTTCAATGTGGCACAATCACAGCCATGCAGATTTTCCAGAGCAGGGGACAATGAAACTTCACCTGCATGCTTCCTTAGGAATGGGTTCATTTTCTCAAACAAAAGAGAACAGGGCCTTATAAGACTTAAAGGATAATGTTTAGTCTGGAGAAGAGGAGGCTGAGGGGGAAACAGGATGGCTCTCTTGAAGTATTTGAAGGGCTGTCACTTAGAGGAGGGCAGGGAGCTGTTCCTCTGGGCAGCAGAGGACAGGACTCACAGTAATGGGTTCAAATTAAGGGTGGGAAGGTACCAGCTGGGTCTTAGGGAAAAATTACCAGCCTCCCACCCAAATTTCCATCCCCAGAGGAATAGAAACGTGGGAGAACAAATGGCCTCCACATAGTGCTGCTCTAGGAGGTCCCCCAGCCTCTGTGGTAAAGACCATAGAGACTAAGGGGAGGCAGCCTAGAGTGTCACCCGAAACCGACACGGCATTGTCTCCAAACTCCACCCTTCCCAGGCACTGCCCCCCAAATCCCCCTGCATTTGCCAAGGCAAGCGTTGGGCATCCTCGCTATAGCAGTTCTCCTGGGTGAGGTGCCCAAAGCTTAAACCCACTAATTCTGTCCCTGGAGAGTTCAGTGATTCAAATGCGTTAACCCTTCATTTGCACGAGCCATCCTTTCAGCTCTGCTCGTGGAGTTCTGTAAACATGCCTTGGGGCGGTTGACACGAGGGCAGCCATATCGCACTTGCCGTTGAAGCCCAGCAGGGTCAGTGCTGGACGCAGGCCGGGCAGACACCAAGCGACGGGCGATGGGAACAGCTCGGCTTGGCAGGCTGCCCGAGAGATGGGTCCGGAGGCAGGCAGGCGTCTCTGCAGCGAGAAGGTGGAAAGAGCAGCCGTTCCCGCCCGGGGAGCAACTCACCGCCCTCCCCCTTTGTCCCCCCCCCAGGCCTGAGCGACTGGGACGACGACGAGATCCTGGCGTCGGTGCTAGCGGTGTCACAACAGGAGTACTTGGAAAGCATGAAGAAGAGCGCCCTGCATAGAGACAGTGGTTCCGACAAGAGTTGATAACTCGCCGGCGCCCCGCCCTGTGCTCGCCTGACACCCCCTTCGGTGCATGTTTTGGCAGGAAGGATGGCGATACCTGGGACCCCTCCCCTCCTCCTCCGCTGCTGCCGACCCACGCTCCTTCAGCTGCTCTGCGCTCCCCCCCACCTTGAACTCTCTGCATCCAGCCCCCCAACACCACCGGGGAGGGGGGAGGCACAAGAGAAGGACAGGACCTCCGACACGAGGAGCTGGAATACGCACAGACTGGGGCACACTGCCCCCCCCCCCTTCATCAGCCCTTCCTTCATTATTACGCGCGATTGATCCGGTCCTGTGGGGGCCCTCCCCACTTTGGGAGGGGGAGCGGCTCTGGCTCTGGGGAAGCGAACTGAAGTTGGATTTTGGGGGCGGAGGGGAGCTTTGCCAGCGGGGAGGGCTGCCCCTCCCTTTCCTTCCCCTGGATTCTGGGGTGCAGTAAAGAGGGGAGTGGGGAGGGGTTGTACTGCTGTTTCCCGCTCTTCCCTGCCCCCTACGGGAAGGGGACAGCAGGGCGGGAGGTCCCAATCCTGCAGCCATTCGAATCACGCAGCCTTCGTCACCGGGGGAGTTCCGCTTCTCGTCTGTGCCGGAGCCCGCCAGGATCGCCGTATCTTCCTCCTCCTCTTCTCTCCATCTCTCTGCACTCCCCTGTCGGGTCCCCTGCGGCGCCTGACCTCCACCGAGCATCACCACTCCTCCGGCTCTTGTTCCGTCCCAGTTCCACAGCCTCCCCGCCACCTCGGTGGCCGGTCATCGGCCTTCTCTCCTGCTGCCGCCTCTTCTTCTCTTCCCCCGTGCCTGGCAGCAGAGGAGGGTTGCCGCTCACCGTCTCAGTGTGACTCCTCCCTCGGCAGTTGGCCTGGCCTTAATAAGCAGTGCAGCGGCAGGTCAAAGGATGGAAGGGGCAGGGGTGGCCGCTTCCCAGGTGGGCAGCGGTCAGGGGCCCTCCTGTGGAAAGGACTGCTTGAATCCCGGGGCGAGGGCCAGTTCCAACGGGGAGGGGGGACCGGTCTACTAGCTGCTAGACCATTGGTGCAAAACAACCCCTCTGGAATCAGCCTCGGGCAACCTTACCTCTTTCAGACGTGGCATCTTCCTGGCTCCCGCTACGTTCACAGCCCCCTCCGGGACTCCCCTAAGCGATCCGTCACCTCCTCGACCTCCATGCCAGGACTAAAGCTGATCTTTCCAGCTGTCCATTCTCTAGCCAAGGGTGCACCATCAGCCGCTTGCTTCTTTTCGCGCCTTCCACCAAGTCTCAAGTCCTGGAAGGGGGTGGGGCGGGAGTTAGTCATGTTTCTGGCCCCTTGGCCTCCAGAAGATCCCAGGGGCCTATCTGCTGCTTATAGGAACATGGATCTGGGAAAAAAACCCTCCTCAGAAGACTGGTTTTAAAACAATCTGGTGCCTGAAATAAAGTATGGGCAGAGTTGACCTCTTGCACTGCTTCTCTCTCTATTTCTCCCCCTCTCTCTCCCCCTCTCTGTCTCCTCCCCCCCCTTTCTCTTCTTTGTGCTTCCTCCCCCCTCCCCCTTTTAACCTCTGAGGCAGGTGGTTATAAATCCAGACAGGGAACCAACCAAGGAGATTATTCCTGAGTGAGAACAAAAGGAAATCACCCTCCAAGCCTCTCTTGCTCAACTGTAGGTTTTTCTAACCCCCAGGAAACTCCCCCCCTCTGGTGGGCAGAGCCTTTGACCGCTTGCCCAGGTGCTCCGCCCAGGTGCTGGTGTCTCAACCAGTTGGAAACTCAAATGCCTTGACCGGGAATGCCAAATTCTACAAGGCTGGTATAAGCAGAGTAAATTATGTAAATATGACTTTTATTTGATCTAGTAAAGTAATCAAATAGATTTTGAGATATATTAAATGGAGAATGCCCACACTGTGCATAGCATCCCTGGTTGCGTTGCCTTCGGCTGTTCTTTGGAAGGGGTGTGGGGGGGGGATTGCTGGGGCGGGGTCTCGATCGGGGCCAACCAGGGAGCCTGTGGCTGTGTAATTTTTTTAATTTTACTACTAGGAATAAGGCCCATTGTGGAAATAAATACAATGAGCTCTAGAAAGAGGCTCTGGGAGAGTGCCAAGGCCTTGGGCACTCAGCGTCAATGTGCTGTGGCGACCTCAGCAGGGTATAATGACACAGAGTCCATCATTTTCTCAGGAGGAACTGATCTCTGCTACCTGAAGAGCAGTTGTAATTTTTAGTGATCTCCAGCCCTCACCTGGAGATTGGCAACAATTGTTACCCAGGAGGAAATGGCTGGTTTGGAGGGTGGAGTCTATGGCATTGTACCTGTCTGAGGTCCCACCAC